AACTCCTCACTTTGCGGCAAAAGCAGGCAGGAAGTTAAGAAGGGCCCGCTGACCACCGAGCTGACCCACTTTCTGAACACCATCACCGCGCTGGCCATTCTGGTAGCGATCACCTTCGCCCTCTGGTCCCTCGGAAACGGCTTCTCCCTCTTCCGCGCCGTCATGCTCTTCATCGGCCTCTACATTGGCATCATCACCCAGGCGCTCTTTCCCACGCTGAACGTCGCCAAGGCGCAGATCGCCAAGGAACTGGCCAGCCGGAACTGCTACATTCAGAACATCAACGCCCTGGAGACGCTGGGCACCATCTCGATGATTGCCACCAACAAGACGGGCATCATCACCGAGAACCGGATGATCGTCTCGCAGATCTGGATCGACGGGCAGCTGATGCCCAGCTACGAGTTTATGGCCACCTACAAAGGTTTGTTTTGAAAAAAAAATGACTGCTTTTGTTTGTTTTTTCTTTGTTTACATCGACAACAACAACAACAACAACAAATGATCATCTGTTTTTTTTCACTGTTGTTGTTCACACCAAAACAACCGCACCATCACACAGGCACCATCCTCAGCGAGCCCTACGACTCCTTCGTTCGCGTCTGCTCGCTNTTTAATTTATTTACAAATTTTGTTTACTCTATATTTCACACACCTGTCCACTGTCAGAAAGGCCATCGGCAAGCCGTCCGAGGTGGCACTGCTCCGCTTCATGGAGGCCTTCACCGGCGCCAGCATTGAACTCAACTACCAACGACAGTACGGGAAGCGGCTGGAGGCGATCTTCAACTGTCGAACGAAGTGCTCGTTTAAGATCGTCAAACCAGAAGGGGAAAACCGCTTTCTAGTGTGCCTGAAGGGAGAGCCGGAAACGCTGATTGGCCGCTGTCAGCACCTGCTCACCAGTTCTCCTCCCACTTCAAGCTTTGGAACCTTGAAACCACTTTTGCATGCTGAACAGGAGGCCTTAGTATCGTTGGTACGGGACCTAGGCCGCCGCAAGTTCCGCTCCTTAGCCGTCGCCCAGGCCTACCTTCCGCTGGACTTCNCTCGCCCAACTCGGGTTTTGGAAACTTAAAACCACTTTCATACGCTGAACAGGAGGCCTTAGTGGCGCTGGTTCGGGACCTAGGCCGTCGAAAGTTTCGCTCTATAGCCGTCGCCCAGGCCTACCTTCCCTTAAACTTTTTTCCTCCCTCAAACAGCAGCCCCGAGGAGGACATGGGCCGCTTCAATGAGGCGCTGATCGGCGGGCAGCTTCCACTGCAGCTGCTCGGAATTGTGGTTTTAGAAAATCCCGTTCGCATGTCAGTGCCCGAGGCGATCTTCAAGTGCCGCAATGCGGGCATCAAGGTGATGATGACCACCGCGGATCACCCGCAGACGGCGCTCTCCATCGCCAAGACGGTGGGCATCGTCCTCGGCGGAAGCCATTCCTCCTCCTCAGAAGAGCTTCATGAAAGTACTTCAAAGGAAACTACCCAAAAACCACTTCTTCTGCACACCTCCGCCTCCGCCTCAAGCACTTCACTAAACACAAAAACCACCACCACCACCACCACCACCACCACCACAAATCTCTACACCAGCGCCCACCTCTCGGTGACCAGTGACCAGCGCCTCGCCGCCATCCTCGCCTCGCCCACCACCGACCTCGTCTTTGCCCGGCTCAGCCCCGAGGACAAGCTCCGCCTGGTGGGCCTCTGCCGCCGCCTGCCGCGGAGCATCGCCGTCACCGGCATCGGCGCCGCCGACCTGCCCGTCTACGAGCAGGCCTCGGT